GTGAACCGGTAACCGTTTCACCAACCGGACAAACGCAGTCGGGCCGGCCGGGACATTGGTACTAAGAGCAACACATTCTCAGCACAACACAGAGAGAATCCACTAACATGCCCTCATAGATTTTTCTCCCAGTTTTATAGTCCACGAAACCCCACACACTCTCTGCTCTCTCTCTCTCCAATCCTGATGTCGATGATTCCTTGAGTAATTACTTCCCAATCTCTCGGACCTCTTTCTCTTTCTCTCTCTATCTAAGCAACTGATCATTCTTTACTCACCTAACCTTTTTTCTCCTTGACCCACGACTTCTGTTCATCTCCGGTTTTCCATTCAAATCCTGGGCGGAATCTTAAAACCCTCCTCATTGTATACACGCAAAGCTGGCGTAATTTAGGTAGCGAACAAAAGCATGAACTGATGAACGAATCGATTCTGTGCAATTACGTCTTTTATTCTTCATTGATTTCTCAATAACTCATAATTCTCGATTGCCATCTGGTAAAGATTCGACTATCGTAATTTTTCTTTTATTACATGCCATCTTTATTTCTCTGCTTTGTTCTCCTCGAGTTTTGTTGACTTCCCGATGCTTACATCCTGGTGATAATTTTTTTTTCGTCTTCCGCGTTTGCTTATCATCCGTTTTTGGTTCTAAGTTCTACAAAGCAATCCGATTCCACTTGGGATTCTTCAGATCTAGTTGAGTTCCTGATGATGCCAATACGACAGTGTCGGTTGTTGACAAGAACCTTCTCTACCCTTCTACGCATATGGTAAACATCCAACCTTTTCCGCAAACTTTGTTCTAAGATGCTTTCTAGGATACTGCTTTTGCCATCAGAGCTACTGGAGTCGACTGTAGTAGGATACTCTCAGATCCAATGCCAAAGGTGTGTTGTTGAATTCGCTATCCCTGCAAACACATTACCCAGAAGGTTATTTCATTAGGAACCTTCCATTTTAAGATGCAACCAAGGGCTCTAAATGTAGAGGAAGGGAAGGACTTGCCCGCCACAACCAGAACTACCCAGTCTAGGGTTTTACCACTGAGAATATTGCAATTCTTTGTGCTATTTCTGGTTTTGGGTATTGGGTTTTCTGTCCTTAGCATGTACATGATCCGGTATTTCTCAGTTCAGAATGTTGTCACCACGGCACGGTCCAGTTTCCAGCCGTGCCTCGAAGAGCCGAATAGTCTAGAGCGTTGGATCAGGCCTCCCTCCAGTCTGATACACAAGATGAGTGACCAGGAGCTCTTCTGGCGTGCTTCTTTCGTTCCTCGAGTAAAGAAGTATCCATTTAGGCGAGTTCCTAAGATTGCTTTCCTGTTCCTGACGAGGGGTCCTTTGCCGCTTGCTCCTCTTTGGGAGAGGTTCCTCAAGGGTCATGCAGGACTTTATTCCATCTACATTCATTCATTGCCATCTTACGATGCCAAATTTCCACCTACATCAGTCTTCTACCGGAGACAGATTCCGAGCCAGGTATGAACCACCCCTATGTTTCTTCTTTCTTTTTGTTATTTATTTTTTATGCGTTTTATCATGGAATTACGCATAATGCTGATTATCCTTCTTGTGAGTGAAAATTTTCCAAGTTTCAAATTTTCTTGTCTTTTAGGATGTATTTCCCCTATTATTTTTTTTCTTTTTTTTTTTTCCAATTTTGTTAGGGATATGGTGGTATAGTTGTTTCTTTTTGTTTTTTCCTTCTTCCTTTCTCTTTTAGTGAAGAAACAATATAGATTCTGTTCTCTCCTATATGTGCTTTGTATGCCAATGTTCTTCGGAGTTATTTTTTCCCCTTTGGTTTTGGAATTTCCGAAGTTTTGTAACTGACATTATCCAAACCAGAATATCCTTTGCTGGTTTATATACTCCTTATGTTTAGATCCCAGGAAGTAGAATGCTACTTCTTGTCTAGCATAGTCTATATTTTTGGAAAAAAAATGTTTTTTTCCCTTTTATGACTCTAAAAAGGACATTTTTTTGATTTATAAGTTTTTTTTTTAATTTTTTTATGCACATGTGGTCTGTGTAAGAATTAAGAATCAATTTTAGTGTTCTAACTTTGTTTCCAGTTGCAATTATCTTCTGAACTGAGGCAGTAAAACTGAACTCACAGTAAATTACCTTTTCCAAATTAAAATTGAAGGGGATCAGTACAAACAGCCAAAAACTGATATTCAAAAAATAAAAGTACAACAAATACATTCCAATTTTACAAGTCCATGCCTGTGTCTGGTGCCCCCAATCCCAGCTAAGTGCTTAATCTTAGCTTTTTATAAAATAAACTCCTAGCTTCAGATGAAGACATGAAATGACCTTTGTCTTTGCAAAAATTCATGCTTACAAGTTTCCTGATGCTTTTAAATAGAATGCTTCTTGGTTTTTCCATGAAAAGAAGATACCATTAAATAGCCTGTCTGGAGGATAAGCCAGCAAAGGCTTAAGTTATTTTTGTTTGAAAAGCTTTGATGGGGAAGGTGGGAAGCTAATCAAGGTGGCATTCCAATGATATTTCTCTTGTATGAAACTCTAATTCTTTGTAGTGCTGACCTAGTTGCCTAGGTGCCCTTGGGCAAATTCATTCTAAGCAGCATATTCCCTAAGTTTGGTTGGTTAAACAACCATGTCGATTTCCAAGGCAACATGATGCTGAATCACCCAAACAATATGCAATAATAGTGGCCCGAAGGATCTAAATCAAGCTGGAAACAGACTACAAGGCCTTAATCTTGTTTTTGTTGACGCTTAACTAGGTGTTCTCAACAAAATTGGATGGACAGTGGACAGAATATAAAAAAGTTGGAAAAATCAAGAAAACAAAGGGATGCAGAGGTAACAAGTGGGTAAAGATGATCTGAAATAGAGTTTTCTATTTAGTTAAGTAAATAGAAAGGGCTACTTAGGTTTAGTGCTGCAACATTTTTGGCCCATGGAATTAGGTTTTGTTCACATGGATTTGTGAAAATTTAATTGCTTTATCATTGTGATAGATAGATGAAGGCCCAAATAGATCAGGAGAAAAAATATGGGTTTGACTTCCCTGTTCTTAGATCTTGGTCCCATATCATGACATTTGTGCCCTTCAATGTTTGATATTTGCCTGTGGGTTCAATGACATTTTTACATCAATTGATAAATAAATGCAAACTATGTTGTTTCTGATTAAGGTTACCAATCCATTTACACTATAAGTGTTTTTCTTTCTTTCTTTTTTTTTTTCCAGTGCTTCTAGGTAGGGGAGGGATGGTGCCAAGGTATCTTGGAGTTCTTGAATTCATAACAGTCTAACTCCTCTCTAGGGAGCAGGAAGGGATGGAGGCTTTGTCCTTACTTATGATGTATACCTCAACTGGAATTGAAAGTCATGTAACCTTAGGTCTTGAATGCTACTGTCATACACTAGAAATTTTATTCATTCAAGGGGATCCAATTTTGGTCAAACTAGATAGGTTTATTGTTTCCCATAGTGGGAGGATAGGTTCCCTAATTTGAGTCAAGACGCTTTACTGAGGCCTTTATCAGATAAACTGAAATTTTGGAGGAAGGAGGTTTGTAAAGGGCTTGAGGTAAAGAGGAAGAAGTGTTTGGAAATTATTGATGAAGTTGATAGGTTTGAGGAGTAGGGAGGGACCAATTTCTGGGACGGATAGGGACAAAAGGTTGAAGGCTGAAATGGAATTTGACAGGATGGCATACTAAGATGATGTAAAGTGGAGAAGGATATCTCGCTGTGAGATAGTTACATTAGAAAACTGAAGGTGCGTGGGAAAGTCATTGAGGAAGAAGGAAGAATTAGGGAGGTTATCATCGAGTTCTATGCTAGTCTGTTCATGGAAGGTTGGCCTCATAGACCCAAGTTGGATGGCTTGGAGTTTACTGGTTTTCCTTAGAAGATGCTAGAGACTTAGAAAAACCATTCATGGAGGAGGCCATTCAAGTTCTTGGGGAATTGGAGGGGGACAAGGTGTCTGGACCAGGTGGTTTTACAATGATTATCTACAATAGATGTTGGGGTTTTCTAAAGGTGGATTTAATGAAGATTTTCAGAATTTCATTGTAATGGGGCTCTGGAGAGACGAGAGAGGTCTTGAATCCACTTTTATCACTTCGATTCCCAGTAAAAGGGTGCTGTACAGCTGAAAGACTTCAAGCCAATCGGTCTAATTGGTAGTGCATATAAAATCATTGCCTAGGTGTTGGCTACAATGATGAAGAGAGTTATGGGATCAATTATTTCGAAATCCCAAGGGGCTTTTCGTCGCCTAGGCCGCCTAGGCAATGCCTTGACAACTTTGGGAGAGGTAGGTTTGTTATGGCTAACTAAGCTATTTAATAAGATAGTGAAAGAAATGAAGATGTTGGAGGAAAGGGATAGTCTTTGGCACGAAGTCATTGCTAGCATACATGGGAGGTTGGGAAACAGTTGGGATGCAGGAGTATCTAACAGGGCTACACTGACCTCTCTGTGGAAAGCTATCCACTGCACTTTGCCTCTATTACTTCTGTCTATCAGGTTTGATGTTTGCTCTGGGATCTCTGTTAAATTTTGGGAGGATACATGGATCAGCTCTTGTCTGTTGAAAGATCTTTTTCCTGCTTTATATTCGGTTTCCTTGTATAAAAATAAGTGTTTGTCAAATTTTATTGTTCCTCCACTCCAGTACACCTTGTGGGCCTCTCAATTGGGATTTTGGTTTCCGCAGAGGTCTAAGAGATAGTGAAATCTCAACTTACTCAGATCTGTTACAAATCCTTCAAAATGTTAGTTTGGACCCTGAGAAGTTTGATAAGCGTATTTGGGCTCCCCACCCTAAGGGTCTATTCTCCTATGCCTCTTTGTTCAAGACTCTTTGCATTCCGTCGGGTCGTCCTTCTTTTCCCTTTAAAGAGTTCTGGTGTAGACCCATTCCACCCAAAGGAAGAGCTTTGTGTTGGGAAGTAGTGCTTGGGAAGATCAACACATTGGATATGTTACAAAAGAGAAGGCCTAATTCTTGTCTCTCTCCTAACTGGTGTATCTTATGTAATAATGTAAACCCAATGCTGAAAGTTGCTACCACTTACTGATCTCTTGTCCCTTTGTTGCAGAGATTTGGTTTTGGTTTTTCTTTTTGTTTGGGTGTAGGTGGACTTCACCATCGGAGGTCAACATGCTCTTCTATCCTTCCATGTTTACGCTACCAAAAAAAGGGGAAGGACAATGTGGAGATGTGTTAGAGCAGCCTTGGTGTGGACTATCTGGGAAGAGAGGAACACTAGAATTATTTTTTTATTTTATTTTATTTTTTTAGAAAAAGAGAGGAGTAAAGAAGCTGCGAGGGATTGTGTAATGGTAAGGGTGATTCATTGGATCAAGACTCTAGAATTGTTCTCCCAATTCTCCTTTGATGGTGTCTGGAGGAATTGAGAAGCAATTACCAAAAGCTCCTCTAGAAAGGAAAGTGTGGAGATGCATTGGATACCTCCAATTGAAGGTTTTGTGAAACTGAACTTTGATGGGAGCAGTCAAGGTAATCCAAGCCCCTCAGGTATTGGGAGATTCAGAAGGTCAAACTGTGGCTCTATTCTTAGGCCCCGTGGGTTTGGGTGACTCTCTCAAAGCAGAATTTCTTGTAGTAGTACAAGGAGTGCATATTGCAAATGAGCTACAACTAGCAAATGTGGTACTAGAAGGGGATTCAAAAGTGGTGGTGGGGTGGCTAAATGACCCAAACTCTATAATGTGGTGCTACAAGAATGAAAAGAAGAAGTTTAAGTGGCTTACTAGAAACATGAATCTCAGGATACAATGGGTGAGGAGATCAACAAGCGGGATGGCAGGTGCATTGGTTAAGCAAGGGGTGAATAGGGATAATTTGTTTTGGGCTCAGTTAGGTAGCATATCATGCCTCTCTAAGGGATGCTTGTAAAGTCTTATCTTAAAGTTTAATAAAAGTTTCTGTTTGTTCATAAAAAAGAAATGAAGATGCCTGATGATTGGAGAAACAATGGTATGGTGCCTATATTTAAGAACAAAGGTGATGTATAAAGTTGTAATAACTATTGGGAGATTAAACTCATGAGCTACCTATGAAACTTAGGGAGAGAATAACTAAACAAAGATTACAACTTGAAACAAGTGGATCAAAGAACAATTTTCACTTTATGCCAAGGAGATCATCCATTAGAAGCTATAATTCTTTTGAGACGATTGATATAAAAGTTCAGAGAGAAGAACAAATATCTTCATATGATGTTCATTGATCTAGAAAAGGCATATGATAGAGTATCTAAAGAGATAATATGGTGA